AGAGTTAAATGAAGTTAAGAATTCAGTTCCACTGTTACATTAGCCACAAATCAAGTGCTCAATAGACACATGTGGCTAGTGGCTATTGAGTTGGACAGTGCAGATATAGAACATCTCTGTCATTGCTGGAAGTTCTATTTGACAGCACTGTTTTAGGAGGTAGGGACCAGATCTGTATTGTTGCAAAACCTGCCTGGCACATGTGCGACCAGGTGGATGCACCAGAGAATGTCTTCCTGGCTTGAGCTTTACCTAGGGCTGCCAAGACTAACATGCAAAATCTTTGTGAATCGATGACATTACCAGGTTACACTCCCCATTGGCTCCATGAGGGCCAGTCAGGGAGCTCTTGGCATCAGAGCAGAGAGGGGGTTATTCTTGGAGGAATCTTCCCAGTGGTCTCATCTCTGTATGCCGAGGCTTCTGTCATCCCTTGACTTCTGACTTAGGGTCCTGGCTGCGTATTAAATGATAGAAAGTTTTTCTGCATCTTGCAGCCCAGCAACAAAGAAGTTAATAACTCTGGAAGACTGTAATGGCTTTAGGATTGGACCAGGTGTATTGGAGACTATAGAAGTTCAATCTTCTGTCTGTGCCCTCGAAAAGCATCTGCCCTCAATGGCCTTTGTCTCCCCTGGGACACAGCACTGGAATCTGTATCATCTAGGGAGGTACCTCCCCTCACCTTCTGCAAAGAGGCTGTGTGAGGTGGGGAAGGGTCTGTGATACAGGACTTAAGTTCTGACCTCTAGGCCCAGTGGCATCAGAGCTCATGGGCTAGTGTCTTGGGACATATGAGCACTATACCTTTTTAAACACATACATTCTAGAGCTTTGTTGTTCTCCTTTCTGCTATTTTATGGATATCAGTCTTGTCTTCCTGGCTGGGTTGTAAACCTCGAGGGCAGGGGTCACTGCCCCTCTGAGAGCTCTTAGCACTGGGCTGGCCATGTGATAGATGCAGATTGATAATCAGTCAGGGTGATTTGGGGGTCTGATGTTATCTTCTTTCCTGTGTGTATAGTGAGCGACAGGTGATGTCTTTCCCAGTGATCCATGTGCTCTAATTGAGTATCTTGGGTACCTCTTTATCCCAAATTAGTTTTTTTCTGTTCTTGATTTCAGAATATGTTCATCATCACATGGAGACATCATATGTCTTCATCACCGTGGGAAGAAACAAATTGATTTGTTAACTTCTGAAATTTTCAAGTGAAAAAGGAATTTCTTTCCAGGACCGCTTGATGAGTTTTAGTGACAATGTTCCACTGCACACCTCCAGGGGGCGCCACTCACAGTTTTTTCTATGTGAAGAGCACCCCCTTGAGTTGTGCAACACAGGGCCCTGAGTGCTGGATTTGATAAAGTCCCCCTATGTCTTTTACAATACCATTGTTTTTATTCTTTGCTCTGCCGTTTTCACCTGTGGTAAAACCTGAAGGCATGACAGCATAACTTAGGTGACTCTTCAAGGTCTCTGGGCTTTGCAATTCTAGAACATTCTATTCACAAATTGCTTGTAAGACACTACCAGTTTCCCACTAGGAAAAATAAATTGGTAGTAAAGATTCTTAAGCTTCTTCCCCCTCCTTCCTTAGCAGAGAGCAGTAGAGGTTCAATGCCAAATGACTCATGCTAAGGTAGCTCAGTCCTTTGTCTCATCCCCACTGGTTGGGACTGGTAGGAAGCAGTATGAAGAGTCTGGCTTAATGGACCTTGAGAAATCCCCCTGCCTTAAATTTCTTCCACTGGCCAGTCCCTAACACTCGAAACGAACTAGAAGACATTATTTTTTTTTTATATCAAGTAATGCTTCCTGTAAAGAATTAAGGATAGGTTTAAAACAAATGTATTAGTGTTAGAAATCAGAGTAAGGTTACCCTTGGGGATGATATTGACTGGGAAGAGAAACAGGAAGTTTCTTGGCTGCTGGGAACGTTCTGTTTCTGCGTTTAGGTGTGCCCTCTATGAAAGATTTATGGGACTTTACAATTATAACTTGCATATCTTTCTGTATGTTTATAATGCTTCACAATACAGCTTACTTAAAACAATTCTTAGAAGAGAGCCTCAGGAAGCATTCACAGATATTTATAACTTAGTTAAAATAAGGAGGTGAGTTTATTTCCAAAGGACAGTTAGCAGTGTGCTGGGATACTGGATACTGACAGGAGGAAGAGGAGATGACGGAGGTAAAAGGGCAAACTTGTCCGCTTTGAGCTTCTGCCTGGGGCGCATCCTGCTCTGGTTCTTCCGGGAACCTGTTCAAGCCCCCAGTGAATTGGATACCTTGTCCTCAAGTCTATTCTCATTCTCCTTCAAAGATATAAGAGGTGAGCAGTTTGTCGAGAAGACTGGAATGAAGAGCGGCTTCTTTGGTCCAGATCCAGAGCTGGCAGTGAAAGAAGGTGGTTCTCTTGGACAGTTAGCTTCAGGGAGAGAGTGGAGCCAGTCCTTCCTTCCGGTGGAAAGAAAACCAGTGTATGCTCTAACCAGAGCATGACCTGGCTCTGTTAGATGAGAAGAGACCAGTGACCCATGGCCATTTGGGTATCAGGTGTACAAAGCTCTGTGTTTATATGTTGGGGAAGAGGGGAGGTGCGCAGCTCAGCTGGGAAATCTTCCCGCCTCACTCTCCCTGAACCAGCGATGTCCCTTCATCCCCTATCCTGTCCCTTCCCTTCTCCGTGACACACACGGGGTGCTGGGGCCAACAGCCCCACTTGCATATGAGCAGATGTTCTGTTTCCCCTCCAGCTGGTGGGTCACCCAGTTCTCCTAAGTCTCCATCCAGCTTCTGAGGAATATTTAGGCTGTACAGGTGATTTCCAGGTACACACTGGCAAAGCTGGCCTTGTGCAGGAACGGAAATGGAAGGAAGCCTTTAAGAAAATGCTTGTTTGGCTTTCAGACACCCTCATTCATATTGCCCATAAAATAGTTATTATGTTCTCAACTGGTGCCCCGTCTGTTTCTTCTGCACCACCTGGGGCCAAAATTTGAGGCTGGAGAAATACCAATATATCCTTCTTGTTGATGTTATTTTTTTTCTTCAAGGACTTTAGTATTAGTTAGATGGCAGTTGCACAAAGGGACCCCACACCAGCCGTCCCCAAGGAGTCCTTGCCTTACTATTTTGTTTCCATGGAACAAATGAGCTTCATTAGCAATAGGCCCACCATCTCTTTGTGTCCCTGGTCTTTGTCTCAGAGTAGAAATAGAACCCAATCTCAGTCCTGCATAAGTCTGTTTCCAGCTAGTTTATTGTAGTCTGGACCTTGTCAGTGCTTCCTGTTCCAGAGGTTTTTCCTCAAAGAAAGAGGCTGAGGAAAAAAAATGTCATGTCTCCTAAGAAATGCCAGCAAATGTGAAGTCAGATATAACCGCTTCTGGAGTTGGTAGTTAAAATAATACCACCCTGCATTTGTAAAGCAGTTCGCATGGCACTTTGATAAGCTTCAGCTCATTTGCTTCTCCTAACAGCCCTATGAGGTGGTAGGCATTATCCACATTTTACAGGTTGGGTGACCCATTCAAGGTCACACAGCTCTTCGTATGACTTTCAGTAAAGTGTTCCTTTTTTTCTGTTCTCCCTGTTATCAAAGATACTTTAAGGTCAGTAATCAAAGTAGGAAGCCAATTGTGAGGTTTATGTTTAGATCTGGTTGTATTACTGGTACAGTGCAGCAAACGGTTTGGAAAGACCCCCAAGTCAAAGCCTGTTCAACAGAGAGCATCTCCCTTCACAGAGCCCCTGTTGCCTCCTGACCCTGCTCACCCCATCTTCAGACTCGTCTGTGTAGCAGAGCATCCCCAGCTTGCTGACATGTGGTGAGGGACCTTGAACTTTGGGACCTGTTCATATTTTTCCTAACCTCAAACTTTCCAGGTTTATTTTTGCAAACTTAATATTCATTGAACTGCTATATTGACTCCAGAGACCCTAAGACAATGAAAAGACGTAAAATCTGAGATCTGGCAAGAGTCTAATAACAGATAAGACTGTGGGCCACGCCCTTTTCTAGGAGCTTCACATGTATTAACTCATTTAATCTTCACAGCATCCCTTGGTTATCCCCATTTTTCAATTGAGAAGGCTCAACCTGAGCAAGGCATTTGTCCCAAATCACAGAACTAAAAAGTGGAGGAGCTGGGATGTGAACCCGGGTTAATTCCAGAGTCTGAGCTCTTGGTCACCTCAAGGTGAAGCTGCAAGGGGGGCGTCGAGGGCAAGCCCTCTTTTTCATCAATATAGAATTCACATCCTGAGAGCTAAGTCCATCCTAGGAGATCATTGGCAAAGCACTTTCTAAACATCTTAAATGGACACTAGGAAATTTTCCCAAAGAGGAAACAGAGTTGTTGGCTATACCGCTTCTAGATCTGACCTCCAAAAAGAGTTACTCATCGCCCAGCGTTCTCCAACTTATGGCTGATTCCTGTATCTGTGAAATGAGAGTGCCCTCTTTAGACTCTTGGAAACTCAGGCTCAGATCAGGAAATTAGTATTATATTTCTTTGTTTCCTTGAGAGCAGAATGGCATTACACACTTCAAGTCAAACCGCTGCTCACTTACAGGTAAACGTTCCCAAAAGTTGTCAGTGAAATATGGATTATAAGTACCAGTTCCATAACAGGGCAACCGGGAAGCACTAATTTAAGATTCATAGATATCCAGCAACGAGTTATAGGGGTGGAGGGAATCCACGAACCTGAAAAATTGTATGCTACCTTTGGATATGTGTGTATATATACACTTTTTTCATTAGCGTCTCAAAGGGATCATGACCCCAAAACATTTAATAACTATGACTATGAAGACATTTCACTAAATTATTTACGTGTAGCTCTTCTGTGAGATCCCATGGCAGACGATGAAAGCACCGGTCTTATGAGTTTCAGGGCTCATCATAATCTATATAATTTTCACTTTACTAATTTTCTTTGCCTCGGTAAAGAATTGATTCAAATAAAACCTTTGTACTGCATGTATTTACAGACTGGATTTTTCCATCTGCCACATGGAGACTTTTTCATTGAGCCTGTCAAAAATCGTCTGCTGGCTGAGGGAGTATACCACCCACATGTCATGTACAGGAGGCAGAGGCCGGGCGTCCCAGAGATGAAGGAGCCAACCTGCGGATTAAAGGGTACTGTGACTTAATCTCCTCACTGGATGGAGGAGTTTGTTCTGTTCTATTATTGTTTTTTTTTTTTTACAACGAGACCTGCTCTTCTTCAAATCTGTTATCTCTTCCCCATTCTGTGGCCAGAAGATATGCACCCTCGTACCCTTCACTTCTCTGTACTCAAGTCTCTGTATTCTTAACGGGAAAGGAAAAAGGGATCTCTTACATCCTTGCCACATTAGTTGATGATATTTATATGGTATTCATAATGGTACATTTTTTTTAAGCTTCTTCTGAATCCCTTGGAGGAAAATAGTTTAAATTACAAACGATGCTTTGCAGTATCAAGCAATGTTATAATACATTAGCGTGGAATATTACTAGACAGCTTTTCATATCTGCATATGGAAAGCAGATTTAAATATTTGACGATGCTGATAATGATGTGTGAAGAGAAACTGAGAAAATACCAAGACGTTATCAAATGATGAATTCAGCTAAGGTTCTTCTGGCTGCGTTTTGTTTGTAGTCCACTACAAAGTATGTTATCTGCCCCCGTGTCTCGGGAATGATCCGAACTGCTCCTCTCTGCCTTGTACTAAAGAGTTTCAGGTAGTTTTCAGAGCTAAACTGACCCAAGTTATTCCCTTGCGACGCCCATATTCTCTTTAATATGTAGGAGATAATAGTAATGCATAAAGGGCCACTGGAAATTGGGACTTTTAAAAAATATTATTTAGTTTCTCCTTTCTTCAGAGGAAAAAAAAATAGTGGACTAGGGAGACAGTTACCAAAAGGAATCCATAATATTATTTATGTGTCTCAAGGATTTAGAAACCGTGGACCTCAAAGGGAAAATAGATGAGGAAGGAATTAGGGATAGTAGATTCTGATAAGTGTTTCAGAGGACTCAGAACTTGAGCTTTGCCAAGTAGGAGAAAGAAAGGACAAGGGGAGGAGTAATTTCTCTGCAGACATCATCCAGACCCTAAGATAGATGGTAACTTTCCTGGGAGTTTCTTCTGTAATCTTAGCAGAGTATATGCAAGCAGTAAGAAATTTTTGAGTCTATATTTTCTGTATACAAAAATGGACACCTGCTTAAATTCCTTAACTTTAATAAGCTATTGGAACTCTGACCTAAATTAGATAACTTACTATCTAAATCTCCTTCCAGAAAGCACCAAGAGAAGAGACGCATCATCTGGTCGGTCCGATTGATTGATGTACCATTCCAGATAATTTAGTTTCAGTGTGAATTTTTAGGACTCTGTCACCAATCCGATCATCTGGAAGGATTGGAATAGTTGGAATAATTGCCCAATTCCTATTAATAATTGCCCAATTCCTATTAATAATTGCCCAATTCTTATTAATCTTGGGTGATGGATGACACTTTGTATGTGTGATTTGATAGTTTTTAGATCACTAGGTAATTAATATGGCGGAGGGAGTTACTAGGACAGTGAGTGAATTTGGCTGGGTAATTGCTCCTGTAGGCATGGCTGCTCTGTGAAATGAGTTAGGCTATTCCTCATCCACCCACTTGAACCCATTCTCTCCTTTATAACTCCCCTGTTGAGGTAGAGTTGAGTAATAATGTGTTGAGAATGGCATGCCTTTGGTCATAAAGGCAGAAGAGATGAATAGGAAAAGAATGAGGTTTACAAATGTGATGCCCCCAATAGGTCACACACAATACCACAGTTATAGTGCTTGCAATACCATTTCATCATTGTGCTTCTAGGCCAACCTTAAGACCTACCACTACTCTGAAACCTTCTCTGATTAATCCCACCTTGGAACAGTCTTTGCATCGTGAATTTCTCCACACACATCTTCTAAAAGATACTCTCTTATACTTCTTTAAAACCCAGAATGTCAGAAGTGAACAGCTTTGTCAGAAGGACTTTTGAGAGTGCCTAATGTAGCCTCTTTCTCTCACCAAAGAAGCAACCGTGGCTCAGAGGAGGGAGTGAATTTTCAAAAGCATCGAGGCAGATGGTGTTCAGAATATAACCAAGCTCCTAAGTCAAGGTTCTATTATACCTCGGGCCTTATACTCTGTCATGTTTATCCTTTAAGTCTTCCTTGAATATAAATCTTGTTTTATCAACTATCTGGAAAGCCCCATTAGAGTAGGAACTCCCTTCCCAAACAGTATGTAACATAGTGTTAGGTGCAAAGTGGAAAATCAGTAAATGATTGAAATGAAATGAAGAGTGACTTGTAGCCACATAGATGAATCTAGAGTGCGCTGGCATCCAGTCCACATAACATAACAGAAAAAAGAAATGTGTGATTTCTAGATGTTAAGGAGGTGTCAGTTCTTTGTGACGATCTCCCTCCCTAAGACAATAATTGTGACTCAATACTAAAATGACAGCTAGAGATTGCAGAATAAGCTAATGTGCTTGGTCTCCCCGAAACAGGTAATTGCAGTGTTCTTGTACCATGTTACCCTGCAGAGGGGATGAAATTCACCAACACTAGGCATGTCATTAGCCCACGTTAAGGTACACCTCGTGCTTAGGGAAGTCAGTGCTGCCAGATAGAATTACTGTGATTGTATCAAGAAAGACCACCTTTCCTTGTATAAAACATTCCTTCTTCATAATGTTCAAAACAGGAACACCCTTGGTATTGAAAAAAAGATGTACTTTAAAAGTACTCTAGTACTTTAGGAGAGAAAGTATATCAATTACTTTCCCCTAAAATGTGTCCCTTCACTTACATTCATTTCCCAAATAGAAAGGTACTCAGGAATTTCATAAGTCCCTTTTCAATATGGCCCAATGTAATTAACTCCTTTTTTTTCCCCCAGAACTTTAATGTGATACTATCTTGTTATCGATTTGATCAATTTGAACTAGAATTTCTTAACCAGTTTTGTTTGCTGTTCTGAACCTTGTATTTGCCGAGCCCTGTCCAAGTTCTTGTTTACTCCAACTTTCTGGAATCCATGTTAAATCATGGGAAAATACAACTTGCTGGAATTAAATCTAGAGCACATTTCAAAACCTCGTTTTATTGACATTGACAAGCTCCCTTCTCTTAGGGTTTTTAGTGGCAATGTATCACACTGGGACGTGAGTGGCTCTTAGATGGAAGTATCCAGGGGAAGTATGGTTTTGGGGACCTGGGGAAGGGGAGTCAGATAGGTCAGATGACAACAGTTGCAGGGTCATCTACGGCAGAAAGGGGTCCAGGTAGGTAAAATCAGGGTTTGGGATTTCATGCATCAGGACACTAGGCTAGAAACACAGGGTCTGTTTCCTGGCATGCGTTTTTTCTTTCTTTCTTTCTTTTTTTTTTTAACATCTTTATTGGGGTATAATTGCTTTATAATGGTGTGTTAGTTTCTGCTTTATAACAAAGTGAATCAGCTATACATATACATATATCCCCATATCTCCTCCCTCTTGCATCTCCCTCCCACCCTCCCTATCCCACCCCTCTAGGTGGTCACAAAGCACTGAGTTGATCTCCCTGTGCTATGCGGCTACTTCCCACTAGCTATCTATTTTACATTTGGTAGTGTATATGTGTCCGTGCCACTCTCTCACTTCGTCCCGGCTTCCCCTTCTCCGTGTCCTCAAGTCCATTCTCTACGTCTGTGTCTTTATTCCTGTCCTGCCCCTAGGTTTGGCATGTGTTTCTGTGTTCAAAATTTATTCATTCATTCAACAAGTATCTGTTGGGTATCTTCATTATGTCTGGTGCTCTCCTAGGTTCTGTGGGTACAGTTGTGAATAGGATATAAATCTTGGTCTGAAGAGTTGACAGCCTGGATATAGGATGTGGGTAAGTAGGGATCTGGTCCAGGTTTTTTTGTTTGTTTTGTTTTGTTTTTTTTTTTTGTATGCGGGCCTCTCACTGTTGTGGCCTCTCCCGTTGCGGAGCACAGGCTCCGGATGCACAGGCTCAGCGGCCATGGCTCACGGGCCCAGCCGCTCCGCGTCATGTGGGATCTTCCCGGACCGGGGCACCAGCCCGTGTCCCCTGCATCGGCAGGTGGACTCTCAACCGCTGTGCCACCAGGGAAGCCCTGGTCCAGGTTTTGTCTTTAAAATATGTGATAAGACCATGAAAGGAAATGAAATTTTAATGTATGTATTGGGCTTTTTGTTACACCACATTGTGTTTGTGCCAGGACATGTAGCTGTAATTCATTCATTTTCTCCGCTGTAGATAGTCCATTATGTGACTCTTCCACTTGGACTAGTCTCCTGTGAGTGGATCTGAGCTGCTTCCAGTTTGGGGCTATTAGACATTATGCTGCACTGACCACCTTGTACATGTTTTCTGGAACACAGATTCATAGGGTTTTCCAGGGCATATACCTAGTAGTGGAATGAAATCATTATCTCATAGGATATATACATCTATGACCTTACCAGACGATGCAAAATTGCTCTCCAAAGTTGTTCAAGAGCAGTGAATCTAATAGTTCCTATTGTTCCATATTCTGTCTAATACTTGCTATTCTCACGTATAAATTTTGCCAGTCTGGTGAATATGAAGTGATATCTCTTTATGCTCAATGTTGAAGCTACACATATTCCATGGTGGAGTTGGGTCCCAAATCTATGGCTGTGGCTATAGATTCTCCATGAATAGTTTGCTACCCTGTACCCAGAGTCGAAGCCCCGAGAGCCAAGTTTAGGTTTGCTTACTTGGTTCTTTGTTTTCTGGTTCACATTTTCACTTAGTAGATCCTAATCTGACTTTTCACCTACGTGCGTCCTAAACTTGCCTCTTTTCTCCAGAGCAGAAGTAGGGAGCAGCAGTTGCCCCAGATCAGCAGTGGGCCTCAGTGCATCAATCGGGGTTAGCCAGAGAAGCAGCACCAGTAGGAAGTAGATATTGAGAGGATTATTGCAAGAAATTGGTTTACATGATAGTGGAGGCTGGCTAGGCAAATCCAAAATCAGTGGGCAGGCTGTCAGGAAGGGCAGGCTGCAGCTTTCAGGCACAGGCCGAAGCAGCTGTCCATGGGCAGAATTTCTTCATCTAGGAAG